AAGCCTTGACTTGGGAGTTGGGTGGTGAGTCAAACAGTTAATAAAGGCTGTTGGATGGGTGGTACCACGAAGAACCACAAGAACCACAAAGAAGTCTGTATGCGTTTCACTGAAGCGTTTCAGTTTTACAGTGATATGCTTGACTGGCAATGCACACAGACACTTAGGTCCTAAAATAAAGCAATGTTGGTAGAGAAAATTTAAAAAGGTGTTGTGTAGTGTGATGGTTTACAAAATGAACCCATCGCACAAGATTTAGGAGAGAGTAAAGACACCCTCTGAGTACACAGTTGCACCCTACATCGTATGAACAAGTCGGTATGATCAAAACGTAGCATAGCTTAATTAATCCCAACAGACCGTTACCAGCATCGTTATAATCACGGTGGCCATCACTGTTGATGCTATTAAAACACCGTCTTCTCCCATGGATCAAATGATGCTCACCAGTCAAACTAGGATTAGAAATGCAAATGTCAAAGCTTTCATGAAGACAGTTTTATTATATCAATCAAAAAAATACGAAGAAAAACACGGAGAGACATTTTGACATTTAAGCTAAATTGTTTCAGGCTCTCGCAGCAGATAAATGAATTTCTGTCGTGACGCCCCGGAGCGAGTCGAGGTGGTCACTGCCAGGCCACCGAGCGTATGAGTGCGTAATTAGGCTGCACGGGATCCCACCAGCCAATCAAACCGCCATCCGCCACGCTCCCACCCCCCTCCGCTCTCGCTGTTCTACCCAGATACCCCTGCCCCACCTGATTCCACAACTCCACCCACATCTGCCCCTTTTACTCTTCCCCAACGACCCCATCCACAGGCCTGGGGGATGACTTTGTGATGGAGGGGGGGCATCTCTCAGTGTGTGTGTTGTGCCATTCTGCCCCCCACCTTCTGCTCCCTCTGACTGGAACATGAACTGGTAGATGGGAATAAACTGGAAATAATAAAGCTTGATCTGCCCCCCTTTCAACAACCTGATCCTGCAAACCCCCACCACCACCACCACCACCACCACCACCATCCGACTCCTACTTCAAAATGTTTTCCAGTGCGTACACGAGGGTGAGTGGGGCTGCGCTCACAGGATGTAGACAGCTGTGTTTCCATATGAGTGCCTCCGAAAAAGCCTAATGAAGCGCCGCACTGAAACAGAACTCACCACCAAAACTGACAAAAGGATGGAATTGGCGCTCGTCAGAGAGAAAATATTTGCTGAGTTAAAGTTGTTTCTTTCAAAACATAGCAAAATAGCAGGGAAACGTCAACATGAGAAAATCGACTGCAGAAAATAAAAAAAACATCTTTCTGACGCGCGCTTATCAGCGTGGCATTTTAAAGGCTGTACCAGAAGTGCGTATCAATGCCAAACAGTGCCGAGCATTTCTTTGTTATCAACACAAAGTATTAGAAATATGGCATCCCCCTGTAAGGAAGTATGAATGCAGTCCTTGGAGATGGATGACGATATTCTCCAGCTTTCTGATTTTCCCACACATCTTTTTGTTTTGGGGGGTTGGGGGATATGGCAGCAGGGACGAGCCATGACTATGCATTATTAAAAAGCCCGGAGTGCACCAGTGATGAATGTCTGCTTGTTAAATGGGAAAGCCCCGAAATCATCTGGGGCATTGTTTTATTGTTTGTTATTGGCTGCTAGTTACTTTATTTTTGAGTGAAATGGTGTGATAAGCCCCTTGGGTTTTCTTTTTCTTTCAACAGCACCAATAAATCATTTGTCTCTCGTCATAATCGATGTACTTTTTTTCCTCCACCAGCTCGAGGTTTTTATCAATGTGAGAAGAGAGTCATTCATCAGTGACGTCTCTATTCTTCCTCATCGTGTGAATGTGGGTTATTAGACCGAGACTCTCATCAACTCTCACCAGATTTCGGATCCTGTTCTCAAAAGCCACAAGAATATCATGAGAGCTTGTGTGCGTTACAGCATGTGCTCTGGCAGGCAAGAACCCCTCTCACCTCATTTGCCCTGGATCTCCCCCCCAAAACTCCTTCACCATCCAATTATGTGGAACGAGAACCATGTCTAGCAGAGCACTGTGACATATCTGTGTGACTGCCGCTTCTATATTAAACCAGCTTCTGATTTATGATAAGATAGAGCTTCCTTAAATACAATCCTCAGCTTGTTTGTGTCAAGGAGGGAGACAGCAGAGGGGACAAAGAGATCGAGGGAAATG